GTGCCAACCACATGACATCTGTTTCGACAGGAAGTGTTACCATCTTTGGATGTGCTTGGTGGCGCATGTCGGAAGAGTCCATGTAGAATGTTAGATGTAAAAAGACCCCTACTGGTCAATGACCAGGTTTTACTGGGTCTTTTGACTTGTAGGGGACAAGTTGAATCAAGAGATCAACACCCCAAAATCACCTAATGTATAGATCTTTCGTATAATTACAACTGATAGTCTGAGGGCCACATGTGAAACCAAACCAGACCATGCTTGAAGCTTGATCCCCCACCTTCGAACCCGAGTTCAACGGGATCCGGACCATGTGACTCCTGGTGATCTGATCACCAAGCTGCTGTGTCATGTATCTGTACCAGCAGACCTTAAAGTGTGCATGGCTCTGGAACCTTAAAGCGTGGACTATAGGCATACCTTATCACCAAATAAACTGACCCAAAAGGGGTCTCCTCCTTCGCTTCCAGCAACTCTTCTCCAAACCATGCCATACCCCGAAGGTCGGGGGGTACGGGGCATTCCGATCGGCACGAGTGCCTTGTAGTGCCTTATAACTTGAAGGATCCAGATCGATTGTGCACATGCCAAGGAGGACCCTGTGACACGATGAACATCTTAGGAACATCAGCACCCTTCTCTTCAGTTTCAGTCTGCTTCTGTGGCTCAACCCCCAGGCTTGGGGGTCTCCATCCCCCCAAAAAGTCCGACCAGAAAGGAGGGAGTAGACATGAGTAGACCATCGAGTACCTAGACCAAGTACGCCTGAGACCTTCCGTTCCGCCGGACCTTCCGTTCCGTTCCGGGGGTGTTTGGACGAGGCAACAGGCCTATCGACACCTCAAATGGAAGGTCTTAGGTATGATGGACCTGACTACTGACCTGATGTGCTCCATAAGTCCCTTATGTTCATCATCTGCCAAAAGCGCTTCCTTCTGACCCAGACGCGACCCTGGACTCGGGCCTCGAAAATTTGGAGGGGTCAGGGTCGAATCACCGGGGTCGAAACCAGTCGGGCTGTGAACGGAGCATACCCAGGTAGGCCATGGATTCCAAGGGTAGGCCATGGATTCCTCAGATTGGAAGCCATTCATCAGCACCTCGAAGAAAAAGACACGGCGCTCTTTCGCTCATTTCACGCAATTGGTGTACCATGTTGTGGTGTCTGTTGACTGATCTTGGTCGCGATGTTCAGCTATCCATGAAATGACTGGTGCTAAGTGTCCACATCAACTCAGCCACAACTTGTCTTGTTGATTTCCCTATTCATTCATGTCCGTTGCTAGGTACCTGAGAAGGGGGGGACGAAAGCCTGCTCCCTGTCTCCACTCGAGCGCTCAATGTCTGCAAAGCCCTTCATGATGCTAATGATGCGCTACTCGACGTCCATTACATCACTCGCATCACCAGACTCCACGTTTATTGTTTTTCGGACCCTCGCTTATTGAGCGCTCTCCCCCACCAAGCTCTGCGTCCAAGGTCCTGCTCAGCGACCACCCCACCCCCACACCCCCTTAACTAACTTCGTTCGCCCTAGAAGCTCAAGCCTGGCCTATCGGCTGTCTTTCGTAACACTATAAATTCAGCGACATATACCTATATATAACAGTATTATACCAGCACCATGGAACTGTTTTGGTCAGGGGTGTCCATCAACCACCCTTTCCATGGTCCTGGTATACTATTACTGTAAAATCGACAAGGAACACCGACATGTTTCATGACCCGTCAACTGGGGGGTCGATCGGCGATACTGAGGTCGTCGCAGGTATACTGAGGTCGGAGGTGAAAAGAAAATAGGGTCCAGAACCGAATTGCAAGCCCTTAAACACATGGTCAGGTTTCCCTGACCTCCATGGCACTCATGAAATATCATGAAATCATGAAATACTCCCAGACACTCCATGGCACTGCCATCTATGCCGAGAAAAGGCGAGGGGTGGTTGACTGGGGGTCTGGCTGTTGCAGTCCTGGCAGTCCCAGGTGGTGTCATGGGAGATCTACAGTGGGCCAGTGGGTCCGATACTGACCGCTTGACCTACCTGGGAGCTCGTTCGCTGACTCCACCTGGGACGACCTCGACGACCTCGACTTCCACACGGACCGGAGTGTGACACGTCGACACGTCCGGTGTTCGCAGTGGGAGGGTCCCAAGCAGCAACTCATGAGGGGTGTTTTCCTTTGGAGGCCACTGTACAGCGGCTAGTCTGCAAGGCAGCCACTCTATATAGGAGACCTGTTGGAGGGTGTTTCTATAGAGGATTCTGGGAATACCTCTCTGAAGCTTTGGTCCAAATTGGAGCTTGGTGTGGTGGAACACACCAAGCTTGGCACACGTCTTCCTCCTTGACATGGCTCTCCGCTTCGCGGCAGCCAAGAAAAAACAGGGGGCGCCGGTGTTCACCCGCGGTCGGATCCAGGGTTTTGCTTCGGGACTCCGCTGAAGTCCGCGCAAAGATCCGCAGAGATCCACGGATCGCAAGCTCGATCTGAGGGCACGATTGCAAAAGAGCCAAAAAACAAGTGAACCACGGGTCTGGGTCAACCTCCGTGTGTTGAATTTGACACGTCTGGACGATTGGAGTTCTGACGCGTTTTCGACGACATGGAGGCCATCGCTCCGAGCGAAACAAGCTACGAACGGAACGGAACAGGCCACGGGTCCTCCCGGGTGTCCATGGATATCCAAACCCTAGGGATCCAAGTACCTCCTCAAAAGGTACGTGGACCCTCCAAACCCACCCCAAACACCTTCTCAGAGGGTACTTGGATCCATAGGGAAACAGAGGTCGACGACGGGGTGTCCATGTCCACCACCCCGTCGACGCCCGAGGACGTGGATCTCATGGAGATGGTGTCCCAGTCCCGGACGATGATCCTCGATGGACGTGGGGTCTTTTGTGCCAACGAAACCCTTCGGGAGTTCTCGGGTGGTTCTTGCCGATCCCCATCCTCTTCCCCTAGGGATCCAGTCGTACCTTCTCAGCAGGTGATTGGAGACACCGCTATGTAGGTTTGGAGGGTCCAATCACCTGCTGAGAAGGTACTTGGATCCCTAGGGCATCTAAAACAAAAAACATTTCCCTAGGCTTCCTGGCCCACCATTGATTTATCCCATTTGCAACGGATTTTAACGTACAAAACCTGGTCAACCACTTTTGAATGGTCTTGGAAGGCTTGTGTTTAAAAACAATCCTTTGGGTGATGCTGGCAATTCTCTTGAATTTGATTTGTTCAGTGTGATTAGTGATTCATCTGACTACGCATGAAGCTGCCTGCCCAGTTCTGGTCTTCTATTGAGAGTTGAACCGATAGTCTTCAAGTTCCTTGCTTCGTCGCACAGTTCCAGGCTCCTGAATCTATATCCCTAATACAACCCATGTGTGGAATTATGAACATCTCAAAACCACATATCCATGCAAACAAATATACCCAGACACTCCATGTATGCCATAGATGCCTACATTAGAATGGTTTTGGGGGTCTGGCTGGGGCGGCATCGGCAGTCCCAGACAGGTCGTGACAGGTCGTGTCTGGGATATATATATATATATATAAGCAAAGAGTCCAGCCCCACGGAGGGTCCGATTCCACGGACAGTTATATCTTCGACCCAGACCTGTCAGTTGAAATCCCAACAACTGCCGCCAATTTGAAATGCTCCGCTTCCGCGCGCATTTTAGAACCCAACCCCGCCTCCGTTTCACGTGTACTTGAACAACAGGGCCAAAGACTGCGGCCCCAACCCTTCGGAACTATGAGAGAACTTTGATTCAGCGTGGACTTTTTTGATTGAAGCTTTTGGGTTCTTCATGGTTCTTCGTGCTTCTTCTGGAATTGGCCAAACCATCCAGCGTTTCAGGCCCAGCCACGCGACCCCCCCCGAACCGGTCCGAGACCTCTTGAGTTCCGACGAGTTCCGAATGCTTCCTGGGATCCACGAGGCTTCCGTTGCCATTGACGAACATGTGACGAACGGAGGAAGCTGTCCAGGAACATGATTCCCAATGCCAGGGGATTGACCCAGTTCGGGAAAAAACGCACATCACTGGATCCACAAAGTTCGAACATCATGAGGACATGACGAAACAACACGACCTGTCTAACACGTCAATGGTAGTGTTTCCAACTGTAATCCGGCGATGCCGTTCCGGTGACCATAGCAAGCTAGCTTTGCACCTAGGCCAGTGCCCCCAAGGGCGCCGGTGGGCGAAGCCTGCAACCCGAGAACTCACAGGTGACCACCTGCCACTTAAACCAGTCTCCACCAAAACTCGGAGACTGGTTGGAGTGTGCTGGTATGTCTTCCAAACCTGCAAAGTCCTTTTCCCATACCATCTTTTGCCCGAGAATGAGAACAGAAAAGCATCAGAATCCTAGATGTTCCTAGATGTTCTCTAAACCCTCACAGGTCCTGGGTCATTCGTTGAGGCATTCAGGCATTGGAATGAAACCCACCAGGTCGACGTTCAGTGGTCGACCGATGGTTGGTTAGCACAGCTCTTAATCAGATCGGTCGAACGACTTCTGTGTTGCTTCTCTTCTTTTTCTTGTTCAGTTTGCTTGGCTGAATCTTTCAATGCCATCCCTCTCTTTCTCGACATGTCTCCTACTTATGTCCTCTGATTCCCCGAAACGTGCTAGGTCCTCAACCCAAATCTCTGCCAAACGTTGGAGGCGGGAGCTGTCTCGCGTTCGCGTTGCACGTTTCATGGGACTGCAGCTCGAGGCTCTCGTGAAGACTTCCGCTTGCGATCTCATGGCGTTGATGGAGCAACGACCGGCTATGGAAACTGATGCCTGGACCTTCTTTTGGGGTGTCCTGTCTGGAGGTCCCTTAGTAGTATAGGGGCTTCCAGCCAGGTGACCCCTTGGAGGGTGCTGGTGGGAAACATGAGATGAAACATATGGGAAACATTTGGAAACCATTTGTTACATATGGCATAGGGCAAACAATTAATGGTACACATATATGGTTGTCCGGGCGAGGATCACGGGCGGCACACCATTCGACACCCTCCAGCACCCTCCCAACAGGTCTCCTATAGTTTGTGGCTATCAGGTGACCTGTGAAGTCGGGCACTGGTGACTCCCAAAGAACGAGACCCAAACGCCAGGAGTGCGGCCGAATCACGTGGGCCAAAAGACTGGTGAAGGTAGGCCTTTTTTTTCTGCGCCACCGAGGTCGTGTTAAATGGGATACCTATAGAATCCGACCTGGACCATCCAAGGGGTGCCCTGGAATAGGAAGCCTATAGGTAGTGTGGGGTAGTCCAGCCAGGACACCCCTTGGAGGGTCCAGGTAGAATCCTATAGATATTCTAACAATATGCCTAATATGCCAAAATGCCTGCCGAACTTGGGTGGTCTTAATGGATGACAAGGCAGACATACTATTAGGATCTATAGATAAGTTCGAGAACCTTGGTCTATACGTAGTAGGCCGACACAATCGCGATCGAATCCTTTCGGTCGCGGCACGGTCTGTTTTCCCAAAGTCCTTGAGCCAAATCAGTGGCGTCCAGTGACACAGTGCAAACGGCAAAGCCGAGTACCGATGATGCAAGTCTTTACATGACAATTCCAGTCTTGGATAAGTGCTCCTAGACATCAACTATACATGACGTGTCATCTATACATGAAGTGTGCAATCTCACTCAAAGCTCAGTTCTTCTTGGGGACGTTTCTAGCTGAGGGATTTCTTCTCCCCCCTCTGACTCCTGAGCTGCTCGACGGCTTGGGATCAGTTCTGAATCCCGGGCTATCCAGCTGGTTCGGAAAGGTTCTGTGGCACACTGTACGGAGGTATTCTCTTCGGCTTGTGTTTCTGCCGTTTCTTGTACCCTGGCTGGGTAGGGCCTGTCGTGCCCTGAGGTCCTGTCGCTACGTCTGTCGCTGGTGTATCTGGCTGCAATGCCATCTGCTTGTCCAGCTTCAGGCCAGTGCCTGAGGTGTGTTTGATGGTGTATCCATCGAGGTGCACTCCAAGGTTTTGGAGGGTTTTAGGCCATAGTGCAGGCTCAACTGCTTTTGTGAAAGCATCGGCTTTCTGGTCGCTTGTTCCAACAAGGCTCAGTTCCACGTCATCGCGATCCAACTGCTCCTTCACCGAAGCCAAACTCACGCGATGTACGCGTTTGAGATGCCTCAACTTCTTGGAGTATCCAGCAGTCACGACCTTCGCGCATGCAGTGTTGTCTTCGCGAAGCCTCAACAACACAGGACGCCCAAGCATTGCGGAATACAACTCGACCAATGGCAAACCCTCTTCAAAGAGCACATACGACAATGCGACAGTCTCTGCCTCCGTCGTGCTTCGACAAGTAGCCGTCTGTTTCTTCGACAGCCATGCCAAAGGAAACGATGTCCGCGGGCCAGACAACTGTAGCCATCCACCAGTGGTACTGTGGGTGTGTTCATCGTCTCCGCAGTAGTCTGCGTCTGCGAAAAGTTCAACAAACACATGCTCCGGCGCATCACGCACATGCCCAAGTAACATAGCGTTCTTGGTGCACTCGAGGTAGCACATGGCACGGTACAGGTACGCATCACAAGCTTGCGTCCAGGACTGCACCATGGTTGCCAACCAAGTCACAACTCTCAGCAGGTCGGGACGAGCAAGGCGTGCCAACCACATCAGTCTCATCAGAATGCTGCTGGCTGAAGATGCCAGAGCACCACGCTCTTCTGCTCCAACGAACCCCTTGCTGAGAAATGGCGATGCGACGACTTTCATCTTTGGGCTGTTCGCAACCCTCAAGTACTCTTGAACAGTAGCCTCAGTGTAAGCACGCATGTCAAAGCCAAAGAACTCTGTGTTGTCAACCTCGACAGTGGAGTGGTGTCGACCAAGAAAGCGACCCAACGGTCCAATGTCATCAATCAACACCTTTTCACCCAACGCCTCCCAGAAAGGCTCGTGCCACTGACTTGGTCCTGAGAGAATCAAGTCGTCCACGTAGACAACCAATGCCAATCCTCCGAAGGTGGGGATGGTGAAGGTGGATGCAAACTCTTCAACCTTGACTGCTCCTAAGAGACACAACTGTTCTTCAAGAAACTGTTGCCAATGGGCCCCAGCTTCTGGGTGTCCATATAGCGATTTTCGCAATCTAATGATTGGTCTTTTGAAGCGAGGGTAGCCGTTTGGGGTGAACCAAGACTCAGGCCACAGCTCTCTTGGGAGACGGATGTATGTGGCAGCCAAACTTTTCAACTCCGATTGGAGATAAGCCTTGACGGCGTCTGCCGACGACAACTTGTGTCCGACCAAAAAGACCAAAAGAGATCACGCTATTGGCTGCAACTATCGACGCAGGAGACGCAGCTAACGTCTGGTAAAGTGCTAGCTTTCCTTCAGCCGTCTTTGCAGAATCACCACGATAGCACACGCGACCTTTCAGAGCACGAAGCTCTGGAGCCAACTCAACGTGCTTTTCGCTGCAAATAGCAAGCAAGTCTGCAATGTGAATCGTCTCTCCACTCTGCAATGCAGCCTCCTTCACGCGGAACTCTTCATCAACCGACTCAAGCTCCCATGTTCCCATGGAACCAACACCATCGAACTCCTTGCGGATCGCCTGCAGTGCATCAGGTCGGGACAACACTTCGTTCCGGGTGAGCTGTCTTGTCACCAGGGCATACACCCCAGCCGCAACGTCTTCCGGTGGGACATACCCCTCGGGAAGCTCATCAGGAGAGTACTCGGGACCCTCAGTGGTCTCCGGCTCAACCCAATGTTCCTTTTCTACTGCTCCTGTGGAAGAGGAAGAAGAAGTTTTCTCTGAACTCTTAGGTATTGGAAGCGGTCCAGGTGTCTTCGGTGCTCCGACATCTGGCGCCGGTGTAGGCGGCGCTGCAGCTTCTCTAGGGAAGATGGCATCAAATCGCTCGCGACATGCCTTGTTGTGGCGGTAGTGGCCACCATCACATCCAGGGCAACCCTTCGTAAAACCATGCTCCAACAAACGTGAAAAAGTAATGTATGCATGACGTGGGGGTGCAACTGGGGTATCTTCCGGAAAAGCATCAATGTCAATGTCATATGGGAGCACGCCCGACTCAAGAGATCTGTCATAGATCTTCTTCTTCACCTCAACATCAGGGTCAGACATTTCCTTCAACGCCTTCATTGCCGCGTTGGACAAGGGAAATTCAATGTGCTCAACAGGAGGGAAAAACACCTCCTTCTCATGCAAGTCCTTGGGACTCCAATGCAAATGCGCTCTTGCACGGACAGCTTCATAGTCAACAACTTGTACGACATTGCGGTATCGCAAGCCTGAGTCAACACGCCATCCAGCAAACAAGCCTGGTCTTGTAGTTGGAACGGCCATTCCATCGCTCTTGGCCCTGTAGAAAACAAGTGCACCAAGAGGGTACTTCACTCCAAGAAAGGGCTCACCTGTGCAAACCTCCCAACGGGTCTTGCCAGTCTTGAGCTCCTCAATCTCCGTCCCACGCTCATGCTTGCGAATCACACAAGGCGACCAAAAGGCACGAGCTTTTGCAGTGTAAACAACGGAGATCGGCCACATCTTCTTGCTGAAGCCGGCCTGGAGATGTGCTGGTCTGCACAACTCTTTCAAGGTCCTCACCTCACGTTCGACGTGGGCCGCGTGAGGCCAATCCCTGGGGATGCTCGGGGATGTTGTCCAGCGCAGCCTGGATGCCGCTCCGGTCAACTCACCGGCTGCATCTGATTTAAAAATGACACCGGTATCACCGTTCAACCTATGGCCACCGAAGTGTTTCAATGAGTTGTAACAGGATTCTTCTGACCTGTCTCTGGCCGGATAGGCCATGCTCAGACCGGAGAAGAGATCAACGATCACCAGAGCCACCTTCTCCCCAGCGCTGCTCACGCTTTCCTCCGACGGAAACATGTGGTCGGCTTCGAGCACACGGCCAAAAGCAGCCGAGCGCTCGTACGCTTCATCACTAGGCTCAGGTCGAACTCCGTGGGCATATCTTTTCAACATTCGACCACGCACACAATGTTCACAAAAAGGATTCTTCTTCGCGTGGGTCGTGATGTGGTCTAGGCTCTTTGCCTCACGCTTCAACCTATCATCTCTCGACTCTGCAAATTCAGCTTCGTCGTCCGCAGGAGCAAGGTCATCTTCAAGCTCGGCGGGAGTTGCAAAGGTATCAACGGTTTCAATGACCAACGGTCCACGGTAGACCTGTTCCTTTGGCTCCTTCTCGACATGTTCCTGTGCGACCACGCAAACAGCTGCCTCACAAACGGGCATGGCGGGCACCTCCTTGAAAACAAGGTCAGGAAACAAAGAAGAGAAGACGATCTCACACATGATCTCTGGGTATCTTGCAGTCGTGCTGGTATTGGAACCTGTGATGGGTGCATGTTTGAAATCAGCATCATGCTTGCATCGACACTCGTTCAAGTTCTTTGCGAGGTTCTCATTTGTTGTTGCCACTCGCCACTTCTTGAGGAACGGTGTGCCCTGCCGATCAACAAGTCCAACTGCACAACCATCAAAATTCACCACTGTCATGCCAGCGTCTCGAATGAGCTGGCACAATGCAGCCTGCTTCCAACCCAATGCATGTCTGGGCCATTCAAAATGAACGTCTCCACCATGCTCAACAACACATCTGGCAAGCTCGCAAAAGCGATCAAGCAGCTTCAACGACAAGTCTCTCGACTTGGCCAACTTCTTTCTGAACTCTGCCCCATAGCGGTGTGCATTGAGGTACTGCCATTGGCTCCACGGGCCACAAGGAAGGCTAGCCCGCAAATCAATACCTGGATGTTCACGAATGAAGTTCTTCAGGTGTGACGTGGTACTCTCATATTCCAAATTGTTCACCTCCTTGGTACAACGTGTGACCTTGACGTTCAACCTCTCACCAACAACACCTAGGTTGGAGTCCGGCTCGGTGCGCAACTCAATGAGCATGCCACGGCCTTTGAGGCCAGTCTGCCTTGAACGCTGCTTCACAGTGCTCGCAGTCAAACAGGTTGGGTCAGTCTGCATTTGTGGTTGTTCAAAACTCTCGAGCTCCTTCATCACCTCGACGGCCAGTGCCTCAAAGCGTTTTGCTATCTTGCCTTTATTGGCCTGGGCCTGTGCGGTGTAGAACTCAACCATGTCACGCATCATCACAACCATAGACAACTCACCACGCGGAAGCTTCT